CACACACACACACACACACACACACACACACACAAACACTTGTCTTTTTTACATACTGTAAAAAAAAAAAAAAAAAAAAAAAAAAAAAAACAACAACCAGACCTCTCACATGACTCCCTACTTGAGTTATTCCTGGCTGTGGTGCATCATTATCACTATCATGATCAAACAGATACTGTATCACTCAACCAACCATTTCCCCTATCAAAACAGAAACACAAAGCTAAAAAGTGGAAAATCAATATCAGGCAGTAATATCGGCCCGGTTTTACTTATCGGACTGATACCGATATTCTAACAAATGACCAAAACTGGCAGGTATCGATGTTAATGTGATATGTCATGAATCCCTACTTTAAATTATCCAGTATTTATGCACATTCTAATTCTTATTCTGAGGTTTATTAAACAAATTGTGCTTTTTAAAAAAAAATATATATATATATATATATATATAAGACTAAAGGACTATCAAATAATAGGAATAAACTTAACTTACCTAAACTTCATGCACAACTACAACTTCTGCTTTTATTTTGAAAGCTTTGAGAGATGAAAACAAAAAACATTATAAACAGTTTGGTCACATCTACGAACTTTTCTATGTCACCAAAACACATAAACTTTAGTTCATTCAGTCTTGTGAAAAAATTAGTTTAAAAAGAACATTTTAATTGCAGCGAGCGAAGTTTTGGATCAAAATGGATGCATGGTTTTGTAAAAGGAATATCTGCTGAAACGTAAATCCTGGTTTTCATCAACTGTCTCCAAACGTTTCTGACCTTCAAAGTAAAAGCAACCGAGCTTCGGGACCCACATCCTGTGATTACTGTCTGAAAGCTTAATTAAAATCTGTTCAGTGATTTATGAGATATTTTGCTAACAGACAGACAAATAAATACACTGACAAAGGCAACAACTTTATGAAAGTGAACGAAACAAAAAAAAAAAAAAGAAAAGAAAATGGCGTCTCCTACAAAACAGCCTTTTCATCCCATTTCATGCAAGTTTATTTTGGATATTTGAAACAAAACTAAACTTGTGTCATTTTCCAATTCAAAATTCCATTTAGTTCTAACATTGTGTTAGGGTTAGAAAACAAATACCACTCTGATTGTTGACTCTCTCCTTTTAAAATCATGCAAGAGCTAAAAATAAGTAGCCGAAACTTCTTTAGAACCGAGTCATTAATAGGAAACGCAGAGCAATGATGGCATGGAAGCTATTTGAATTTGCGGCCTGGATCTTGCCTTAATCCTGTGTTGCAGCATCTGTCGCAGGAATTAACTGTCACAAAAGTTTAAAAGCTGAAAGTAAAGAAGGCGTCCAGAACAAACAACCCTGATGGAGCTCATGGTACAACGCAGCTGTACCAAGTCACAACCAGCTCACTTCCTCCTTTATATATATTTTTTCCAGAGTTTCTTAGTTAGAAAACAATAAAAAGAAAGTGTGATTTATTTTCCACAGCAGGTCAGGTTTTTAAAAAATGTCATGCAAAAACAGCAGAGTTTTTCCAGTCAGAGTAGACCAGGAAGCCGGTGAAGGTGCTGTCCGTTTTGGTGCTGGCGTAAAAGCCGTTGTACTCCGAGAGGGCCATCTGAATCCACACCTGATCTCCGGGGACCAGGTGAAGCAGGGAGCCGCCGGACAGAGAGGCCGGTTTGGGCCAGTTGCCGTAAAACTGAAAATAAGAGGCCACGGCGTGCCCGTTCTTCATCAGGTCAAACTGCAGGCTGGCCCGGTACACTGTGGCATGGACGGCGAAGTAATACATGCCAGGGACCTTGCAGGTGAAGCGTCCAGTTTCTGAGTTGTAGTCACCCTGTTCGTTGATCAGGACGGTGTCGAAACGGACTGCATCGCCCACGGTGAGGGCGGTAGTCAGGCTCTGTGACAGTTTGACACTGAAGGCAGATTTAGGAGCCACCGCACATTCACCAGGCTGGCCCTTCTCCCCCTTTTCTCCAGCGTAGCCTTTGTCTCCAGTCAGACCTCGCACTCCAGTTTCACCTGGAGAGGTAAAGGAGCCAAAGCATGAACAGAACTGTGTTCTTCTCACGAGTTCTCACATGACAAATATAAACCAGTACCTGACTCTCCCCTGTCTCCCTTCTGTCCTTTCTCCCCTGGAGCTGCATCCCTCCCGTCTCTTCCATCTCTACCTGGCTGACCAGGACTCCCATGAACCCCCGGAGAGCCCGGGATACCAGGGTGGCCAGTACACAGACTGGGGGGGATCTTGTTGTCCTCCAACTGGGTGGAAAAATGGACATGTAGGATGATGATGGAGGGAAAGAGAGGCAATAGCCTGATGCAGGTCATGGCTGGGTCGAGGCTGGAAGGGAGAAAAATGAGTGAATGTTAAACTTTACATGTGTGAATAAAAAAACATTCAAGTCAGATAAATGAACTGGTTTCCCGTGTTAATTTGGGCTTTCAACTGAAATGTTTCTAACAAATGGTGACCCCGACGTGACGATAAAATGGGTACATTTCATATTGATTTTCTGAGATTATCATCAAGACAAAAGAACCCTAGAATGCCCCCCACCCCTAAAATAAAACAACTGCTCATTATTTATCCAGACAAACCTTAGCAAAGACAAACATTACCAAAACTGAGTAAATATGACATGTGTTGAAGTAAAATCACTGGCTTCTCAGAAGCATCTCAGATTCTGTCTTTTGGACTCCTCTTCTTGTCCATGAGTGGACTAACATTTATTCAGTCTGTCAGGATTTAAAAAGAGTTAAACTCAGGTCTGCAGTCCACATGATGAGCAAACAAAACAAAGAAACTCAAGAAGGCACCGAGAGGGACCTGGACATGGTCTAAAGCACACAATGACAGACTGCAGGAGAATGAATGGAGTGAGGTCAATCAGTACGAGAGCTGTTTCTTTCAAAATACAATAAATAAATAATATAAAGACATGCCAAAAACGTAGTACAATATCTTAATTTTGTTTCATTTCATGGGGATATTTCTTCATTTGATGGAATATTTATTAATACTTTATTAATTACATTATTTATTTTTTATTTATTGTATTTTGAACAGAACGGCTCTCCATAGCTCAGTAGCGCAAAGGAGACACCAGGGCAAAATGACGACAGGGAACAGGTGCAGAGGCCAACAGTGGGAAAAAGACTGAGATCATGACACAGTCCTCAGGTGACCCAGCAGACTGTCAGAGAGAGGTCAGACTCTAAACTTTTACTTTATACCTTGAATAAAATGTGCAAACTCTTGGGGAATATTGTCTAACAGCACTTGAGTGTGTTTTTATCTTTTACTGCAAGGCCGTAATATCTGAACAATCCAGTAAAAACAAGATTTATAATGCAGTCTTTTTTGGACCATCTGTCTGAAAACAAGACAAGAATTGCTGGACGATAAAGTAAACAGAGCAGGTGGAAGACTGTGTAAATCATTCTGTCTGTGGAGTACAGCTACAATGATAAAAGTCAGATTTTGTCGTCCATCAGCAGTTMTTACTGTAAGTCTGAGCCACACATCCAACAGCTGCAAACAGAGACACACGGAGAAAATAACTCAGAGAGAAACAGTCAGGGGAAAAAATGGGGTGGGAAAAAGAATTATGCGTCAGCAGTCCAGRCTCACGTAGAGTTTAGACAAGAGGACAAACAGTGAGCAGCTGCCTTCACTCCGCTCCTCAGAAGCTCAGAGATGATTAGAGACATGAATGTTTTCACACTAAAAAGAAAAKAAACCCACCGTTAACTGACCACAAAAGCAAAGCTGAATCTAAAAGAACTTGGATTTTTACTCAGTGTAAAGACAATCGTTTTTGTGCAAAACAACACTTTCTGATCGTGATCAACTGAAGCCCAGATAAAGACAGTTAAAAAGCAATGTTTGTAAAAGAAAACTGCTGAGAGAGCTGGATCCRAATCACATGAGCGATTTTACTTCACTGGTTTTGGATTCATCTTAAAGAGGGAGTTTTATGTGGAGAGATTACTGAAGAAAGTCAGACCCGGGAGCCCAAGTTTTTCAGAGGGGCTCCAGAACTGCTGCCTGTTCCCAACATTAACAACTCCCGACCACAACAAAGAGGAGGGAGAAAAGAACCAAAACACCAAAGAACTGAAGACATWTCAATCAAAAACACAAGTATTACATTGTATCGAAAAAAAATGTTGCTCACCACTTTGCAAAAGTTTTAAACAAAAATCACATGTGAAATTTGTGTTGGGGAGGTCTCAGGTTGATTCGTTGTGCTGACCATCTTGATGTAAATACTAATAAAATCTGTCCAGTGGTTCATTTAACAGACACATGACACATGATCACCAACCATGTAGTAAGATAATTAAAGTGTAATTTAAAAAAATCAATGAACACTTTCAAAATAACTCAGAAACATAAAAAAAGTTTAAAATCTTAATGACTAGACAGTTCTTTCTAATAACACATTTATATTGTAACAGAATTCCCCAGCATACACATTATTTTGTGTTCCTGTTGTTTTATTAAAAGAGTCTGGTGGCTTTTGTCTTTACTTTCCTCACTTAAGTTGCTGTCATGATTAGCGGTGGTTGTCATAAGAGTTATGTTGAACCATGAGTGTGAATTTAAGATATTTGACCTGCCCTTTGAAAAAGGTTGTGTCCCTTCCCACAGGCACGTAGAATGTGTGCAGTGTGGTCAAATGCAGGGAAATTAATGAATCTGCATTCAATTAAATCCTGCAAAGAAGTTACAGTTTTAATAAACCTTGCTCTGCAGCGTTGAAAATACAGCATAACATCTGGCTCAAGAACATTAGACAAAAATTCACTTACATAAGATCCCAAACAGTCACAGAAACATGACAAATCCATGTCAGCTGTAGATGCTGCTGTCTTCTTTGTAGTTGAGTGGGTTTTTTGCAAATGTGGGACCACCAGTTTACGGTATAATCACTGCTGTTAGTGTTAGAAAATGAAGAAAAGAACAAAAGCCAAAAAAGCACTTTACATGCTGCTTTAGGGCCACAGTGTTGTCCACGTTTCCTCTATCGTTTTCCTACAAATATTTATAGCTTTTTAGTTTTTATTGGAATGCCTGAAAAGAAGAAGATGGCCACACATTTTGTTACAGACACATCTGGCCTGTTCACCTGATCAATGTTAAATCAATAGAGAGCTGAACCCTTACCAAGACGCAGAGAAGTCTTTGCAAGATGCTGTCAATGATGATAATGATGATGAAGTTTGTGTGTCAGAAGAAAACCTCTGAAAAGTTTGTCCCTCTGATCCTGAGCATTTGGCTGGCAAGAACAAAAGAAAAAAGGAAAAAACAACTGAAAGGAAATGAAATCCAATTAGAAAAGTTGGGTTGGTGGGAGAGRAGTGGGTGGACGAAAATATGTGATGTCCATCCAGCACAAACAAGAGAGGAACGTAACTCAGACGAAAAGTGAAGCAAAAAAAAAAATAGTGTGAAGGGAGGGGATTCGAAGGGGAGGAGGGTAAACAGAGGGATTTTTGAGACATTGCACAAAGACGATGGAGAAACTTCTCATGATCTGTCCGCAGAGAGTTCACAGGGCTGTGGTCGATGCAGATAAATGTTCCCACAGTGCACTGCTGAAGGCTGAGAATAAGCTCCCTGTTTGTCTGCATCCAAGATTAGGCACTTTGCATGATAGCAAATCTTCAAAACTAAAATCAGTCTTCCACTTGAGCAAAACTCAACCCATTATCCTCCTTTCTTCTGAAATCCTGCAGGGGTATCATTAAATTGATAAAGGGACTTTCTTGGCAATAGAGCTGAGTTTCAGAAAATTTGCAGGCCAAAAAAATAATTAAATAAAAAACATGTTTTTGCTGTTGTCTTGCAGCTTTGACTAAAAAAAAACACAGGATTGTGCCAGATCCGTAGAAAAATGTCATTGCAACATCTGGAGCATTAAAAAATAGTTTGTTATTGATTTGCTTTTAGTTGTTTTTACTACTTTTTCTAAAACTAAATGTATGAAGCCTGGAAATCCTTTTAACAAGTCCCTGCAAAGATAATAAATGTGTTTATTGACATGCATTTCAAAAATTAACTTATTCATCTTTGCATTTAGATAAAACGGAAAACTGGATGAGTCCATCCAGCCTGGTATCAGTGTACAGTTCAAAGGTCTGCCTCTCTGATGGTATAGGGGAGCATTAGTGCCTATAATCCCATCAAATAAAAAATAACCTCATCTAATGCCTTCTTTGCAATGTTCTGTTGAGAAAAATATAAATAAAATCTAAAATACTAAGATTTATTTATTGCATTCTGTTTGAAATTATTTACATTTTACACATAATCCCAACTTTTTCAGAATAAGAGTTATATTTGTATTMGTCATACGTTTTTATTACTGACATGACAGCTGCTTGAAAACGATTTATGCAACTTCCAGTTTCTAAATAAAGAACTTTTATACAATACACACATGTGAGTGTTAAATGTTTCAGAAAGAACACATCTGGTGTGGTTAGTGTTTTGACTGTTAAAATGTCTGCTTTGGGAGCAGCAGATCCTTTGAACTCGAGCTGGAACTCTTGAGTTTCAGTCATCAGGATGCTGCTGTGTGGAGCGCTGTTGGCTGACTCCTGTGGAGCCAATGAGCTGGAACTGAACTGAATTTAGGAGGTGTGTTTCATTAGCATCCCCAGATTCAGCACATCCTGGACTGTACTGCTGCAGTAATTTCCTGGAAGATYCAGTAAAACTGCTGCTGACAGGATTTACTGGTGAGTCGCTCCATGTGGCTGTTGAATCAGTTTGGACTCACTTTCAGTGGGAGGTGATGAGGTTGGATCACCAGTGTGTTTGGGTTAACAGAACACTAAAAGGTCCATTTGAAACAGTGATAAATCTATTTAAAACTCCTGAGCATGAACAGGCTGCACAGGTAAAATATTTTTTTACTTTATACCTACCTTTGATAATATAAAATTTTTAAAAGGCTTATAAAGTACTACCACATTTACAGTAAAAGTTGTTTTTGAAATTTGCAATTTTAGTTTTTTTTTTTTTTTKTTGTTAGTTTTAAATTCTCAACTTTCCTGGAAATAGTAACAATTTGGAATCTGTCAGGAATCGTTCATTAAACCAGTGGTTCCCCACCTTTTTACACTGATCCCCCTGAGTCACTTTGTCATATCATGATTCTCCAAAACTCTAATGTCCAACAGCTGATTATTAAATCAATTTTTTTTATTTAACCCCTAGAACAGTGGTTCCCAAACTTTTTATCTTCTGACCCACAAAGTATCCATGGCAAAAACTTGTGACCCCAAATATTACTGGTCTGAGTACACAAACTTCATTAATAACCCTAAAAACACAGGTTTTTGACAATCTAAATAGCTTGTACACAAATATACTGTAAATACTTATTTATACTTACAGTATTTAGTGTTTTGGTAATAGTTATAGGGAAAATATTACATCAACAATTATTTTATTACCCTTTAAATTGATTTCTGGAGATTATCCAAGGTGCTTCATGACCCATTTCTGAACTCCTAAAGTCTTTCAAACCAACTGTCCTGAAAGACTCCGACCCGAGTTTAAAGC